CGCCCACCAACCCGCACTGGGCCCGCGTGGTGGGTCATGGCCCAATCTCCCTAACCCATCCATAGGGAAGGCCTGTACCCCAGCAGTGGGGACGTTAATAGGCTGATAATAACATATAAATATTCGCGGGTAGGCGCAAAAATCGTAACATCTCTTCTGAGTAAAACATATTTTTATTTATTTTATTAAATACATTAATTAAATTTAGTTGTGTGTAAACTGTACTTTTTGACATAAATTACAACATATTGTGTTGGCAATATCATCACATGCCTGTAGAAAAATCTTGAGAGTGCCAACCCGTCAGGTCAACAGTTACTGCTATCAACATCACTTCACTGCACTATTATACGTCGCTACTATTTCTGGAGTTCATTTTTTCTGCATCAAGGATGACTAGCATTGCAGCTGTCTTGGAGAACCAAAAGACCATTGAGGAAACACTCATGCAGCGTATGGCCAGCTTTGAAAAACATTTGAAGGCCTCAAATACATCTTCTTCACCAGCTGTAGATCTCAAGGTTCTGAGCACGGAATTCTATGCATTTAAAGACATGGTTGGAGGAATATTGACATTATTTCGACAGCAAATTAATGCCTTGACCCGCAGCATTGATGATATTGAGGCTAGACACCGTAGAAAGACACTTCTTGTGAATGGCGTGGAAGAGAGTGATGATGAGGATCTGCCCTCAACTATTGTTAACATCTGCCACAATCAATTGGGGCTGAATGATATCACCAAGCTTAGTTTTTCTGCTTGTCACAGACTCGGTTCAAAATCACAAGAGCGGTCACGGTCTGTATTGGTACGCTTCACTGAACTGACTACTAAATCTGAAGTCTGGGCCCAGAAGACGAAGTTTAAAGGTTCATCCATAGTAGTGTCAGAGTTTCTGACTCGTCGCCGGCAGGAGTTGTTTGTTGCTGCGCGCAAGCACTTTGGTGTTCGAAGGGTCTGGTCAAATGATGGCATTATTCTCATCAAGCAGCCCACTGGCAAGTTGTGTCGTGTATACGACAGACAGGAATTGGATAAGTTGATCGCGATAAACACCACATCAGTATCACACACAAAGGCGGCCTTGGAAGCAGACTCTAGACCCACTGCAGATTCACAATCGACCACTAACTCGAGGCTGGTTACTACAGAGGCAGCGATCAAGGCGACTAACGTAAGATCCAAACGTGTCATACGAAAGTGAGAACTTTGCGTGTTTATTTCTCATTGTTTTTAATTAACTGGAACTGAAGGTAATTTAATTATAAATTTTGTTTGTAAAGTCAAAACTTAGAAGTCTGAGATTAACTTTCTGTTCTGTCATTTGTGTTTTTTGTTATTTTTTTCTTATTTTTACCACTATGATGTCAAAGACACTTAGTTCATACAGCCATACTTATTTTTTTTTTTTATTTTTTCTCGATTACTGTTAATAAAAATTATATCCACAGAACAGGAAGTGTTTGTGAGTCTGTTTTTGGTTTGTGTATTTAGAAGTTTTGTTTTTATGTTTTTTTTTTTTTTTGCAAGTTTCTTTGTTTTTATTTAAATTAATATTGTAACAGTTGACCGGCGGGTTGAGCACATACTCTAGAGTTGTGATTGTTTTGTTATAGTTTTATCATATATATTTAATATTTGAGTTTTATCTTAGTATATTATTAATATATTTTACAATATTAGTATTTATATTTTATAGTAAATTATGTCAGATTCTGAGGATGTTGCAGATTTTGAATCATGTGTGAGTTCTGACACATCGTTTCATTCTTTGGACGATGTGCAAGTGGCTGATCATACGTTGGGCAACAAACTTTCCAAAGTATTTGATACTTTTAGGAGGAACTTCAATGTTTGTCACATTAATGCACAGAGTATACCTAGTCACCATACCGAACTGCTTAGCAATTTCACCACTAACACTATTCATGCGGTTTTGGTTTCTGAAAGTTGGTTCAAGCCTTGCCATAGTTCTAAGACTTATGCTTTGCCAGGGTATGCTCTCGTGCGTCACGACAGACTATTGAGGAGGGGCGGTGGTGTTGCCATCTATCTCCGGACTGGCATCCCGTATAAAATTCTTTCTTGCTCTGATGAGCTTGCAAATGGCGTGGAGTATCTTTTTCTGGAGATCTTGGTGTGTGGTTCCAAAGCTGTTCTTGGAGTCGTATATTGCCCGCCTGCTGCCGATTATATTCCATCTCTTACTTCTGTCTTTGACACACTTGCAGCTGATTACGCACATCACATTATCATGGGGGATTTTAATACAAACCTTCTGCAGGACACTCTCGTTTCTCGTTCTCTTCGATCAACCATTGAGTCATACAATTTCTCTTTTCTGCCTCTTAATGCCACTCACCATAACATCGAAAGTAATGACTCATGGATTGATCACATTATTGTTTCCTCTACTGATTTTGTCTCTCTTCATGGCCAATTCTCGGCTCCTGGTTTCTCCCGGCATGACCTTGTGTTCCTCTCTTATAAAATAAAGTCCCCCAAGCCTGTCCCTGAGTTAGTAAAAATGCGGAACTTTGCTCGCCTGGACCCTGAGTTGTTATCTCGGGATGCATTGACCATTGATTGGGCCAGTGTCTTATCTGCAGCAAAAACTGGAGAAAAGGTAAATGCTTTTAATGCAGTCTTATTAGCATTTTTCAATAAACATGCACCAATTCGCACAGTGAGAGTTAAAAGACCTCCTGCACCGTGGATGACTCCACTGGTCCGCATTGCGATGAAGAGACGTGACAGAGCTTTTAGTAAATTCAAGAAGTGTAGGACAGAAGAAAACTGGGTTTGTTTCAAGACCAAGAGGAACCGCTGTAATCAGATGGTAAGAGCTGCTAAACGCCGCTATTTCCATGAAAATATTCTTCGCTCATCTCCTGCAAATATTTGGAAATTTCTTCGGTCTCTTGGGTTGATTAAGTCAAGAAATGTTTCTCTTCCTCACTCTTTTTCTCTCAATGATATCAACCGACATTTCTCAGAAACTTCTTCTCATTCTTTAGGAAATATATCCAATGCTCTCGCAGATCTTTCTTCTCTAATTGAACAACCTACAAATATTTTCCAATTTTCTCAAGTGACGGAGTCCGAGGTTCGTAAAACCATTATGTCCCTCAAATCTAAGGCCATTGGGTACGATGGTATAAGTAGGCACATGGTCCTTAGTATATTAGATAGTATTCTCCCTATCATCACATACATAATTAATAAATCAATTTCCTCAGGTGAATTTCCAGACTCATGGCGCAAGGCTCATATTTTGCCACTTCCCAAAATAAGTAATCCCACAACTCCTAGTCATTTAAGACCAATTTCTATTTTGCCATTTTTGTCGAAAGTCTTGGAGGCTACTGTCCATAGTCAACTAGCTGCTTTCATAGCTAAAAATCACGTGCTAAACCAATACCAGTCTGGTTTTCGACCGGGTCATAGCACCACAACTGCCTTACTAAAAGTCACTGAGGACGTTCGTGATGGCATGGAGATGTCACGGTTAACGGTTCTGGTTCTCATTGATTTCTCTAATGCCTTTAATGCCGTTGATCATGACATTCTCCTTGCTATACTATCCCACTTGCGAATCTCGTCTCCGGAACTAGATTGGTTTTCATCTTATCTTCTTGGACGTCAGCAAGCAGTTCGAGCTGGCGGTGATTTATCGGATTGGTGCGATTTATCGGCTGGCGTCCCACAAGGCGGTATTCTCTCTCCTCTGCTATTTTCAGTCTTTATCAATCTCATTACCTCCATTCTTCGCAACTCTTACCATCTCTACGCAGACGACTTACAAGTTTACGCTCAAATTGGGGTGAATGACCTGGAAGTTGCCATTAGGTCTATAAATGATGATTTTCAGCGAATTTCGGACTGGTCTCGCAATTTCGGTATTAAAGTCAATCCGAATAAATGCCAGGCCATTATCCTGGGCAGCGCTCGTCTTCTGGCGAGGGTGGACATGAGCTCTGTTGCGTCTCTCTATTTTGAAGGAACCCCAATAAAGTTTTCTCCTGAAGTTGTAGACCTGGGTATACAGATTGACCATTCTCTCAATTGGATAGCACAAGTAGACGCTATAAGCTGTAAGGTGATCGGTATACTTCGGTCATTCTATCAATTCAAAAATTTTCTCCCAATATCTTCTAAAATTCTCTTGGTTCAATCCGTAATTTTGCCCATTATAGATTATGCTGATGTGTGTTACGCTGACATATCTCAAGAACTTCTTAACAAATTGGATCGATTGCTCAACAACTGCATTCGTTTTATTTTTTGTCTCCGTAAATACGATCATGTTTCTGCCTTTCGGAAGAAGTTAAATTGGTTAACAATTCGCCAACGTCGAAATCTCAGAATTCTTTCCACCCTATATTCAATCATTAATGATCCATGTGCTCCTGGATATTTGAAATGTAAATTTCGGTATCTTGGCAGTTTCCATAATCTGAATCTTCGGTCTAGCAGCAAACAAACTCTAGCTTTTCCCTCTCACCATACTGGTTTTGTTTCCAACTCATTTTCTCTTCAAGCTATACGACTCTGGAACGCACTGCCTCCTCATATTCAAGATGCTCCGAACAAACTGGCTTTTAAACGCTCCGTACGTCATCATTTATTAGATTCCTCCTCCGCATCCTCCTGATATGATATATATTTGTATGTATATTCTAAATATATATATATATATATATTATTATTTATGTATTTTTATAGATATTTATTTTATGTAGTATATATATATTATCTTGTTTCCATAGATATAAAAATATAATAAGTAATTTGATGAATTCTTTTTGCACTACCTTAAGATTTTTGCTAAAATTCTCCGGTTGACTGGTAGAGAATGCCTAATGGCATTAAGTCCGCCACTTGTACATACTTTTGTGCAATAAAGTATAAATAAATAAAAAAAAATAATGATGATGATTATGATTGGTGAAAAATATTAATCCAGATATGAATAAAGTTAAATATCTATATAACTTACCCATTAGAAAGAGTTTTCATTGTTTGCAGTCACATCATTCCACTATTTCCACATTTGAAGATTCCTTTTTGAGGTTTGTAATGAATATTTGCCAGTCTTCTTCGTCGTTTAGAAGCAAATTTGGTGTGTTCTTAAGTCCAACCTGTCTAAAATTAATAAATGAAACACCTTTTAAACTTTACGCAGAATATTAGCCACGAACAGTATATTTATGTATAGACGGTGAAAGTAGTAGTAGTAAATTTTAAAATAAATTAGGGAAGTCTAAAATTGAAATCTTCTTTCTTTGATAATTAAGTGTACGATAAAATAATTACCAAGGGAACAGGAAAAATTAAATATTCAGCAATTTTCAGATGCTGTTTTCCTAATTCTGTCATCTGTGACATCTGTGATCTGTCAATAACAGTTCTAATATTGAACATATTTGCGTTCAAAAATGTTAAATAATTCTAGCTTACGAAATTAAGAGAAGAATTTATATGTCATCTCATGTTTCAATTTCTTGGAGCACCTAACCATCATAATAAGTCCATACACCTACCTATTAATTTATGTAAACATTACATATCATGTTTATTTCCTAACTAAATACTCGTTTCTGAACGTAAAAGTTGAATTACCAGTAACACAGCATTTTCTACTATTTAAGGGATCATTTTATAATTTCGTGGCCTTTGTACTTAGTACCTACTTGGGTAACCACAGACTAGATATCACATGTGGCTAACCAAACAATAGGGACTACATGTTTTTGAAGTTATACTTCTTTAGGCGTGTTATGAAAAAATGATGAGAGTGAAATTTTAAGATGCGCGCGCATCACTGTAACACAAAATTTTAACATAATGAAGTTGGTCCAACCAACCAACTTCATGCGTTACTTTTGTGTTTACCGCACATTAAGAAAATCTACCAACAAAATAGAAATAGAATCTCTATTTAGTGGGTGCTAACGACTGCATTGTGAGGGCCTATCAAAAGTATTTATTAATCTGGAACAACGGAACCAAAGCGCGATTCAGGAGACTACAGCGCCATCTCTTGACCATTGGTGTAGTAGAACCAAAAACCACATCTTTATTTTTTGTAATAAAGTAACAGTTATAGGTATTCATATTTATAATATCAAAAGTATTTATTAATCTGGAACAACGGAACCAAAGCGCGATTCAGGAGACTACAGCGCCATCTTGACCATTGGTGTAGTAGAACCAAAAACCACATCTTTATTTTTTGTAATAAAGTAACAGTTATAGGTATTCATATTTATAATATTTATCCACATGTTTCTAGTTTGTATATTCGGAATACGTGTTTGAGTTTCATACAAGTGCAAATCACATATGTTCTAATAAATTATATTCAGTAGCGATTTTAATTGAATATTTTGATTATTTATTTATTTTGTCAAATTAAAACTGAACTTTATTGACTGTGTCCTTTTCCAGACTTTTTATTAATTTATTGTAATTAATTATTTGCATGCAATTAAAAACTAATTTTAAACGATGCCAAAGAAGGATAACTTCTCACGCGCCTACATAAGTACACGCACCCATTTTTTTTTTTATATATTTTTATTTAGTAGTTTACATCCCCTTTAAACAATATCAAATCAAATCAAATCAAAATCGTTTATTCAGCACAGTACACGGATACAGATAAATTGTTGTACTTATAACTTACAAAATGACAATTAGATACAGACATTAATAAATACCACTTAACATATACCATACTGGCGTCGATTCCGGCACGAACCCCCAAACGGAAACTTAAACCTGACAGCAGCGTATCCCTGTCACTACGTATAGTGAATGAAAAGGACTGACCGATGCCAAATGAGGGATTTCCGAAATGACGGGCACCAGGTGGCAGTACTCAGACGGAAGGTCTACTCATCCGTCAAATCGCATATGTCCTTAAAGTCTATGGATCAATTTAAATGCTTGTTCGATTAGTTTGCGGCAAGAACTTCATATAAAAGACCTCACGTCACAGTAGCGCCAACTGGTGACGTATATTTTCACAAACACCCTCATTCAGTCCTAAGGTAATAGAATCATGCCAGAATCGATACCTATACCACTCCGTATCCACGGCTGCGCTGAAAAGGGCCCAGTTCAGCATAATGTCAGTGCACTATACACTGGCGCTGGTTTTCAACTGGGTCCTTTATCTGACAAGTGGATGCCAAACACTAACGATAATATAAAAAGGTCTAGATCGAAAAATAGTAACACACCAATCCCCGCTGGGTCATTTATCACCCATCAATCCGTGCTGGGTCCGTTATTACCCACCAATCCGCGCTGGGTCCGTCATCATCCACCAATCCGCACTGGGTCCGTTATCACACACCAATACGCACTGGGTGCATTGTCATCCACCAATCCGTACTGGGTCCGTTATCACCCACCAATCCGCACTGGGTGCATTGTCATCCACCAATCCGCGCTGGGTCCGTTATCACCCACAAAGCACTAGATTCATGTATTTTGTGACGGGTATTGTTGTTGTTACCTGTGGTGAGAGAAAATATAAATTTTGATAGTTGCCATGAACAGCATATATTATTTGGCTAAAGAAGAATTTCAGATGACGATGATTCCAGTTCCAGTTAATCCTATGAGGTAGACAGCAACCAGCAACTTGATGATGCAAGAGTAATAATTTTAGTTAGATTATTTGGGCTCTGAATAATAATCTCTTATCTATTAGACAAGTCCGTCCGTCCGTCCGTGGTACTGTTTCAGCGGCCAAACCGTAAGAGATAGATATAGAGAATGTTTAAGTTATAAGTTAAGAATAGTCTGATAAGACTACAAACCGGATGTGAGTAACGTAGCACTTCCGGTTTTCGAGAAATCACGTGATTTCTATTTCAAACGAAACCACACAAAATCTCCGAAGTTCTCAATTAATTAAATACATATAAACACTATGTTTCTTTTTATTTCCGACCTTTAGTAAGTGTCTGAAAGCTGGTCATAAGTGGCTTAAAGCCAGATTTACATTGATACAGTAGCTGGCGCCAGTCCCGCTGGCATGCCAGCACTGGATCCATGTAAAAATCTTTTGGCGCTAATCCCGCGCTGGCGCCAGGGCTGGCATGGAGTAGAACGAAGGCCTATTTTTCGTGCCAGTGCCCGCACCCCGCATCCGCCGTGCTCGTTGCCAGCGTCACTGGATCTTTTTAAACACGTTCACACCAGTCGCCGGCGCTGCCGCTAAATGTCACCACGTGTTATTGATTTGCTGAAATTTTTCAACAAGGAAATGTCTGAAAAGTGGGGTGATGACAACACATTACAATTTATACACTTATGTAGAAATGTAGAGTGTTTAAGAGTCATTCGTTAGCAGAATTATAGCAATAAACAGATGCGAATAACCACCCTACAAAATATTTGCTCTTCAATGAATATGGAAAAGTTGAGTATTGAAGAAATGAAAGCGAAAATAAAATCATTGAGATGTATGTACTATTTAGAATTGGATAAAATCTCAAAATCAACGAGGAGGTGATGTTCATGTTCCAAAAATAAAATGGTTTACAAAATTTCATGAATTTATACGGATTGTTGTAGTAAAAAGAGTAAGTGTGGTAAGTAAGCACTTTATTTATTAAGTATATAATTCTATACTATCCATCCTCTAACCCATGTTCTCTTCCTCTTAAAAATCTCTTCTTCTATCATTTCGATTAGCGCCCCGCGTAGTAACTCGATGAGCTTCTTCGTCAGTAGTTTTATTCGCCGTCATTTTATCAAACTCACTGTATTCATTTTTTTCCAAACCTGTAGTCACCACAAAACCTCAAATGCAACTGCTGGCAAAAATGTAAACGATAGAATCCAGTCCAGTTATTGGCATCGTTTTTAGGCGAATAAAACTGGCGCCAGCTACTGTATCAATGTAAATCTGGCTTTATTGACTACTAACCTGGCCCTCGAAAGTCAAGTAAGACTAATTTTGATAATTTAATTTTTTGTTTTATTTTCAAGCATTAATCTGCTCGATTTATAAATCTAAAGGAATTTTTTACTTGAAACAATTGAGTAGATTTTTTTATTCCAGAAAAGTATCAGGCAGTTTCAGAAAAAAAATCTTAGATGATGATAAGATAGAAACTCGAAAGATAATAAAATCGGATATAACTGGGGTCCCATGTAAGCGACGGTAGCGACCTCCTTTTTTCGTGATTTTATCACAGAATTTATTGACAGAGTATAGTATTGTGTTTGTTTACCGAATTGTATGGTGAATAAAGAAATGTCAAACGTGGAGTGGCATTATAGTTTTAAACTCTATCCCGTTATGTAAACATAAATTAGTAAAGGCTGGTATGTTGTAAGAACGTGACAAAAAGCTTCTATTACTACCTCACGTTGCATTAGTAAAAATGAAAATAGAATGGATGAGAAATGAGTAGTAAAAAATATTACCTATTTCTTTAGTCATCCGTTTCTATAAACGAGTGACTATTATTAAAATTTTAACTGACAAATACGCTGGATTTGGCTTATCTGTGTCGATTCTGACGTGATTCTTTATACCTAAACTTACATTATTTGACAATCTTGACAACAGTGTATCTATATCATTTTCTATACAGAATAAATAGGAGCATATCAGACTCGACACCACTGTTTCACATAGTAACGACTGACTGCTAGTGACGAGAAATTTAAGTAGAAAAATCCACGCAATTCAGAAAGTATCATCATTTTGTAACAGTAGTACTGGCAGTTGAATCCTTAAAATAAACCTATTTTTATAAATAGTAATTTTGAAATAGTACAATATGTAATCAGTGTGCTAGCAACACTCGCTTTCTGTCTCTTTCTCTCCCGTTAGGGTTTTCAAGGTAGTTGTCGCTGTGAAAATTTGTGAATTTTTCATTTATTACTGTTTCTTTTACCTAAATATTGTATATTTATAAAACTTTAAATACCGTGGATACGATCTGTACCCATAGTTATTGATTTACGGTAATGATTTTTAGGATAATTTCTGATGACAATCACTGCCGTCTCCCAACGTTGTTTTGGTCTTTCAAAGTGATAAGTTCACGAAAACCCTGTGTGAATTTTATAAAACACGAGGAAATAAACCCATAGTGTTACTGACGTATTGCGAAAAAGTGTATAGTTTCCAAGATATTGTCTGAAAAGTGTACATGATTTTCTAACCTATACAGTGAAGTGTGATTTTAAGATTCAGTGGTTAAATTTTGCAGATGAGTACGAAGATTATCAAAGCTGGCGCCGTGGAGGCGGACCCCTTCGAGACGTCGATCTCGCAAGCTCTGGTCGAGTTGGAGACGAACTCTGACTTGAAGGCGCAGCTTAGGGAGCTTTACATTACCAAGGCAAAAGAAATTGAACTGCATAACAAAAAGGTGAGTCGTAATCAAGAAAATTATCTTATAGCTTTCAATTATTTCATTTTTAACAATAGAATCTACTGACTCAAAGATTGGAGGCCCATTTTACCAGTTCCCTGCCTTGTAAGTTATAACACTAACTCTAGAGATAAATGTTGCTGCTTTGCTACTTTATATGCCAGATTTTTCTGTACAACACGTATGAAGTCATAGTTTTGTAGTGTATCTGGTTAACTGTTGGACAATTACCAAGAATTTCCTTCTCTTTATAAAGAATTTCCTATAAGTTGCTCTTTTAAGTGATATCAAGAACTGTGTTTGTCTGTGCAGTGAAACAAATTTGAAAAAAATTGAAGTTCATTCATTCGGTTCTCTTTATCAATTTGAATGTGATAATGAGTAGCTAATTAAAAGAAGAAGTGGTAGACACAAAACAGTTGGTATCTTGGGAAAGTTTCTCATGTACTTAAATAAATGTTTGGAAACAGTGGTTCATACTATGTTGTGGATGTTATAATAATAATATTCTCTATTTGCAATTAAATGTTGCTTGATTATAATGCTGTATGAAAACAAGCTATAAAGCTATATTCATAGGCTGGCTGGAGTGGGCTGGATGAGAGTAGCACAAAATCGGAAGCAGTGGCGTGCATTAGGGGAAACCTATGTCCAGCAGTGGACGAACATGGGTTGATGATGATGATGATGAAAACAAGCATGCTATCTCTATATTATATTGTTAGTATAGGGAATACTCTCATACCTAAAGATGAACTATATTCTATAGGCATAAAAAGGAGAGAAACTGTACCTGTCAAATAGTAAATATGCATAACCATTGTAAGTACCGTAAAACAAATAACAATATTTGTTTTGTGTTGCAAAACCATTGATTAATGATTATCACTTTATTTGTGGGCTGCATTTAAGGGCTGTGGTTCTGGGCCCCGACAACAGAGATATAAAATAACCAAATTTGGGCTGACTCCCAACTTGCTGCTTTAAAAACCTTTTTTTGCATTCCAACTGTTAAATCGATCTTCACTTTAAAACACCCACTCACACTCACTTAAAATATACTTTGTTAAGTTGTCATTTAACTCCAGCCCTGAAGAGACAGGAAAACCAAGTTTGGGGACTATTGTCAAAATAATATTGCATTTACATATCTTCTGTCAAATAAATTATTAGCACATTATTATAAAAATGGAATATTTACACATCTGCTGAATTGACTCTGTTCATTGTAACTTGTCTATCATAAAAAATAACCTATTAATCTTTGTTCCAGTCAATAATTATCTATGTGCCGATGCCCAAGTTGAAGGCTTTCCAGAAGATCCAAATCAGGCTGGTCCGTGAGTTGGAAAAGAAATTCAGCGGCAAACACGTAGTGTTCATTGGAGACCGCAAGATCCTGCCCAAACCCAGCCACAAAACGCGCGTTGCCAACAAACAGAAGAGGCCACGATCCAGGTATGTACTATACTCCAGTTAGCAGTCATTTACAAATTCCTGATTTTGAACAGGAGAGATTCTTCAAATAAAAGTTACAGTTGCACTTAGAGATGTCCATTAATTTAAAGTTATTGCTGTCACTTTCTTAGCAATAGCAAAGAGAATGGGATAACATTTGACTACTTAAAATGACATTCAATTTATTTGATGTCTCTAAGAAGGCCCTTGAGTTATTTTTTAACAGACACCATTGATAATTAGAAGGAACTTGATGGCGTAAGTGGTTAGCGCGTTCGGCTGCCATCATTGGATGGGTGATCAAAAATTTATTATATTAAGCTTCTCTGTGTTCGGAAGGCATGGCAAGCCATTGGTCCCAGCTGCATCTGCAGTCATTCAATCCACAATAAGCCTGGGTGGTGGTTTATGGCCTAATTCATAAGGAAAGCTTGTTCTTCCCTGGCAATGGGGACATTTATAGGCTGTTGATGACAAATAGACTTCTCTCCTGCACCAATGCTTTAACAAGAAAATTTGATTAAGTGAAAACTCTCTCCTTTTGTTTCTTCTTGTATCTGTTACTTAATTGTTATTGATCAATCTGTTTACCACAGGACACTGACTTCAGTATATGATGCGATCCTTGAAGACTTGGTGTTCCCAGCTGAGATTGTTGGCAAACGCATCAGGATCAAGCTGGATGGCTCACAACTCATCAAAGTGCACCTTGACAAGAACCAACAGACCACTATTGAACATAAGGTAATTAATCTTGTTATTTGTAGATAGATATTGAAAATTATATTGCCAGTAGAGTAGTCCCATGGTTTTTTAGAAGCAACAAAGGAAATTAAAAATAAATGATTTACTAGCAGCCGCTCGCGACTTTGTCCGTATTAACTTTGATATTTAGGGCATCCTACAGGAACCTAAGATTTTTCCAAAATCAAAAGTATAGTGCAATTCAAATAAGAATAGGAAAGCGGTTTGCATAAAAATCTTGGAACCCTTTTTTAGCTCTGCTAATTCTAGAATAAAAACCAAACACTACAACAAACAATAACAAATATTGATAATTAATAATGTTTGATATTTTTTTTTCATATATTGAACTAGGGCTATGACTTGTTTATAACTTAAATCGTCAACCAAATGTCACTTGTAAAATGCGTTCATAAACTCGATTTAAAATTTTCGTTTACATAAAGGTAGCATGTTCGTATGTGACCTAGTATTAGTGCATGATTATTCAAACCTACTCTGGAGGTAATGCAGAGATGAGTGGAATTGAAGAGCTAGATTCTGATTAAAGTTTTTTCTCACACAGTCTTAATAAAAAAATATTATTAAGACTCTTGTTTTTTTCTCAATCTCAGTAAATAAATTTTATTATAAAATATCATGCTTAGTCTTAGTCTTAGTAGAACGGCGGGCTGTTTCCGCAACTCGACATCTGGTGCCTATTTTGCGTGGGGATTGGCATCAGTCCTGCCATCCCAGCTCCTCCAGAAAGCTCAGCAGTCCCCGAACGTTACTGCAGGCCTCTACTATAGTCTTCGGGCTTCCCATTAGAGAAATCCTTTGTCTTGCAACGCCCGTGCACTCCAGCAGCACATGGGCGCTCGTCTCCTCGTCCTCCAGGCAGGCTCTGCACAGAGGGCTGTCAGAGATACATATATTACAAAGGTGTTTGTTGAAATAGCCGTGACCCGTGAGTATACCCACGATTTGTTTTAAGGCTTGTCTAGGAAGTCTGATTAACTTACGTGTTAGCTGCAGGTTTACCTTGGGAACGGCTTCCCTAGCTTGCCTGCAGTCTGTGAGTTCTGTCCAGTATTCGTTATGTTGTCATTGACAGCGCTCCCTTATCCATGTTCGCAGCTGTCGATAGGGTATGGGTACAATAGGCTCCGGACCAATGGCCGTCCTGCTAGAACCTTCCCTGGCTAAGCAGTCCGCCGCATCGTTACCCCTTGAGCCGCTGTGTCCTTTAATCCACTGCAAAGTCAATCTATTGTCGTTAGCAATATTAGTCAACTTACTGTGGCATTCATAAATTAAGCCTGATGTCATTATATTGTTGTCCAGTGCCTGTAGGACAGAAGCGCTGTCAGAGAGAATACGAATGTGTTTTCCTCTTACCTTGCGACAATCTATCGCTTCAGCGGCCTTGATGATGCCCACACACTCTGCCTGGAAGACCGTGTTATAGGCTCCCAATGCTGTTGAGATGTGTATATTTAGGTCTTCAGAGAAGACACCCGAACCTGTACCATAGTTGGTTTTTGAGCCGTCTGTGTAGACCCTCAACTCCTTTTGCAGACAGTGGTCCGGAGTGTCTTCATAAAGTTGAATTTTGTATTTTTTGTCGAATACGTACGTCTTTGGAATGAGGTCGTTTACTGCAGCAAAGTACGGAAAGTACCTGTATATGTCTGCTAAAATGCTGGTGTGTGGGGAGTTGTTGTCCCTCCATAGCCCCAGCATGCTTAGTCGTGTGGCTGTACAAGCAGCTTCCTGTTGTATAAACAAATGTAGTGGTCTCACGTCAAGTATAGTCTCCAGTGCTGATGTGGGAGTGGTTTTCATGCAGCCAGTGATTGCACAGCAGGCCCGCCTCTGGAGACGTCTTAACTTATTAATTGTCGTTACCTGGTTTGTCTTTGTCCACCATACTACTGCTGCATAGCTGATGATGGGCCTAATTATGGTCGTGTACAGCCACCTAACAATGAGCGGTGATAGTCCCCAGGTTTTGCTAATCATTTTGCGGCATTGCCAGAAAATGATGTTGGTCTTAGTAGTAGTTTTGTCTATGTGTGAACCCCAGTTCAGTTTGGAATCTAGGGTTATTCCTAGATACTTTACCTCGTTGGAGAGCCTTAGTGTCGTGTTAAATAGTTTCGGTAGCCGATAGTCGCCTAAGGCTCTTTTATTCGTGAACATGACTAATTCTGTCTTCACTGGATTCACCTTAAGGCCGTAGTCGTCACACCATTTTTCAACTACCTTCATTGCCCCCCGTGTAATGTCACAAGCGGTGCTCGCAAACTTACCCGGGATTAGGATTGCCAGGTCATCCGCATAGCCCACCGTGTGGAAGTGAAGGTTGTTTAGTTTGGTAATTAAGTCGTTTACGACTACATTCCATAGCAGAGGCGATAGTACTCCTCCTTGAGGACATCCTTTAGTCGCCAATGCTCTGAGATGGTTGTCGTCTTGTAGTCTGATTAGTCTGTTACGGAGCATGTTACTTACCCAGTATATAATGTTCTCATCGACTCCGTGTTTGCCAAGTGCGTTTACAATACTGGCGAAGCTTGTTTTGTCAAACGCGCCTTCTATGTCTATAAAGGTGCCCAGACATAGCTCTTTTCGTCTGAGACTATCCTCTATTTTACTTACGACTGCATGTAGTGCAGATTCTGTCGACTTGCCTGGACAATAGGCGTGTTGGTTTAGATGTAGTGGAAAGCTGGTTAATTGGTTATCTCTCAGCTCTCTGTCACACAGTCTTCACCTGCCCATTGAAGCAGCGCCGGAAAGATGCCATCTGGTCCGGCTGCTTTAAATGGCTGGAAGCTGTTAATGGCCCACCTTAACTTGTCCATGGACACTGTCCTCATTGCAGTGTTCCAGGATTGTTCCGTGGGGGTCCAGCAAGTGTCATTCCAGGTGTGTGTCGTGTCTATGATGCAGCCTGGAAAGTGGGTTTCGAGCAGTACCCTCTGTGCCTCCTCCACTGTCTCTGTGAGGGAGCCATCAGCTTTCCTGAGCTGTGAAAGGTCTTGTTGTCTGTCTTTGGAAAGCAGTTTCCTTACCTTATTTGCTTAAATATCATGCTTTTTCTCACTTAATTCTATTCAATAAGTTTTATTAAATAATAACTTTGTTTTGCTCACTACCTTTTTGGTTGGAATTGACAGCTATGACGTCACAATATGGCGCCCAGTCGGTCCTTTTCTTAGTTGAATCGCATTATATTATGTTGTCTCAATCCAGTTAATAAACTACATATATGCATACCAAATTTTATCTAAACCCTTTCAATAGTGTTTGCGTGTAAGAAACATACAAACTTTCACATTTATCGCGAACAGTGCTTCATCTCTTTAATCTTCTCAGTTTTTAAAAGAAATTAACATATATTGTACCTACTGAAGATGAGATGTGACGTGATGTCATTATCTTTTGACATTTATTTTATCAATGTATTAGATTTTTACTTGCAAATAAGTATTTTACGACTAAGAGATATGCTCTAAGTACAAAAAAGTCATAACATAAATTTAAATCTATATTTCAATTAATTTTTGCATGCTGGTAACGGCTAATTGTGCGATCTGACCTTATCATTTAAAAACATCATTGTAATCACAATTAATGCAAATAAATTTCATTGCGTTTATTCTCTGTTTTTTTAAGACTCCCATTTCAAAGAAGGCGAAGGGAACAATGCCCGTACAGCCTAGTCTCTAGTTTTATTCATCTCCTTTTTTTAACATTAGAATATCAGTGTGACGCATTCTAACGTTTCTTGGGAGCGTTTGGCACGAAATGTAACGAGTTGGCTTTTTCGATAAGCTACTGTGTGGTAGTCAACACTAGAATAAAGTTCTCACGTCCACTTGTTCGGAATAGCGTATATTTTAAAGATTCAACTCATTGTTATTTATTTATTTATCATGAACTATGTTGTTTGTTCCAGGTGGACACCTTCCAGTCTGTATACAAGAAGCTGACGGGGCGTGAAGTCACCTTCGAATTCCCCGAACCTTACTTGTAAATTTAGACTATGACTTTACAATAAAACTAAAACCATATTGCGAGATTTTTATTTAATATGCGCTCTTGAAAATACGCTGCACTCTGTTCAAGGGGCCAAGTACGAATTTTGACAGCTGCGTAAACGTATCGCATCGTCAAAGTTTAACAGCGCCCACTATCGGACATAAGAACAAACTGGCTTCTTCCATACAAAAATTTCCTCTTTTCTCATTTGTTCTACACGAATTAATTTTAATCAAGAAATAATAAAACTACGGATGTAAATCCCCTTGGCAGCCCTGAATTAAAAACCACAAAATTTTATAAAATCATTATTTTGAAAAAAAAACCAGCGGGCCATTCGCACTAACGTAAATGCTTTGGAAAACGCTAACGCTTTCGATTTTATTTTGTAGTTTCTGACCGCCGAAGGTTTTCAAATACCTCACGCTCATTTTTTATAATATTGTTATTACGAATTCAAAAAAAAAGCGCGGGGCATTTGAAAACCTCAGGCGGCTAGGCAGTTGGCGAATGGCCCCCATAAGTCCATATTAGTAATTATAATATAAAAGAGGTTCTATATTTACTATATCGTGGATAAATAAAAGAAAATGAGTTCGAGGGCGATCAAACAAGTGAGAAAAGAAAACGCACTAGTTCGACGATCGAACTAATGAGAATAAGGCGCTTTGCAGACGACGGGGCGGGGCGGGCCGGTCAATTTCGCCGCGAATAATAGCACAAAGTGAATTCTATACTTCAAACGCACACAGCGGTCAAAAAGACCGCGCCTTGGGTGCCCGGCGGGCACTGGCGGCGCGGCATGTCCGCGGCTGCCCGCCGTGGATCATACAAACCATTTTATATGCAGTAACGCAGATGGCGGCGCGGGGCGGTCATGGACTATTCACTAGAACGAACGTCCTAAACTGACAGCCTCTGCCCGTCGTGTGCTTTGTGTACGCGGCGCGGGCAGCCGCAGACATCGACGGGCAGACACGGTCTTTATTGCTTCGCGGACAAAATGCCCGCCCCGCCCCGTCGTCTGCTCAACGCCTAAAGGACGAAATTAAATACCCTAGATACACCACATGCGTTTAAAATGTGTTCCAATCAAGAAGTACTTGAACACGATTCAAGGCATTTCTTAGTTGTCGTGGGGACCGTTGAAAAGTCAAGAGCTCCATGAAAAAATGCAAAAAAATACTAATGTTTGTTAATTTTAACCCAGTTGAAGCAAATTTTGTTCTAATACTTACTATAAACTGATTTAATATAAAATATTTGTGACATTTCGCCGTGTAGCCGTCTCTTCCTCGCGGTGCATACCTGCTATATTGTTAACAGCGCATTCAGAAACGCGCGTAGAGTCAAAGGAATAAGGTCTATATTCTTCCGCATATAGCAATAAGTAAAATTTCACGAGCTTGCACTTCGTGCTGTCATAACTCATAACACATGCGTTTTAATTATGACCTTAAACTTTATGCATTAAAGGTGACTTTCAATGTTTAAATAATGCATTATATTGTTTTCGACCGTGCGATCATCTTACGGAGCTCCGGGGATCGTCTAATTTACCTTTTGGACACAATTTTGTTCGTAGTTTCATCTAGTTTATTTAATATCGTTGACGTCATCTGCTAATACATAACTTATTATGAAAATAAATAATAACTAAATTAAACAAACGTAATTGTCTAACTACATTTATTAAATATAAAAACATATCAGTCCATCCCTTTATTTATACAAATAATCATGGTATATAGATTATTAAGTAATTAAAGTAACAGTACAAAATTAACTTTATTATTGCATTGGGATATAATTGCTTGTGGGCAAAATTATTAACTTATAATTTAATTTTAAAATTAGTCCAATATTCTATTGATTATAACTCATAGTCAAGGCTTATCTGACCAAATTACTTTCAGATTTATTTATAATTCGTTTAAGCACATATATCATTTGAAGGTATGTTTAAAACCATAACTATGCTTTTGTTAATATAGACAATAATACTCCTTTAAAATATTATAGTCCACGTTTAACGGAAAATTTTCTCGTTAATGGTTTACTCCCTTTCGTACATAACATTAGAGTATAACTCAATACAAAAAAGATTTAAATTCTGGTATATTAGGTACTTTCAACAATTGCGAAGGTTTACAAAATATTTATCTACTTCCATTCATTCTTTTATTACCTTAACCTTCAAACATTAGGAATAAAAATAATTGGCAACCACCTTATTGATTATTATCATTTCAATATCATCATAGCTCTCATTTCTTCATAATATACAATTAAATATATATAAAAAATTAAAGACAGATGAGAATAGTGTATGTACATAAATTACAAATGACTAGCACAGAAATAAAATAAATTCACCGGAAAACCATCATTCATGTTATAAATGCAAAGTTGATGATTCATACATAAATAGTTATATATTGTGACCATAGAATTTTATTTGGACATAAAAACATATTTTCAAAGTACTTAGTCAAATAAAAATATAACATACTTCCCAAAAAAAAATAACAAGTACAGTTAAATATTTGTGTTTAGTAATTTATGCTTGCACTAAATTTTTTGGCTAAGGCCACAATACAAGAGCCTCGCTTAGTGCTAATCTTAGAGACAAGGTAAAAAAGAAAATATGTAATACAAGAGGTGCGGGTTCTACAAACTAGTTCAGTCATTTACTTTAATCCATAATTAGATTATAATACGAAAATTAGATGATGGCGATGGTGGTTAGTGCGTTCGGCTGCGATCGTTGAAGTTAAGCAACTTTCGCAGTGATCGGTCATTGGATGGGTGACCAAAAATCTTCTATCTCGAGTTCCCCCGTGCTTCGAAAGGCACGTTAAGCTGTTGGTCCCGGCTGCATCTGCATTCGTTAGCCATCAATCCGCACTGGGCCCGCGAGGCGGGCCATAGCCCGATCACCCCATTCCATCCTTAGGGAAGGCCTGTGCCACAGCAGTGGGGACATTAATAGGCTGACGATGACACCTAAACGATACGCAAAGTGCAATTAATCGAACGAATTTTGTTACCATTTAAACCCTTTGATCTGGGGCAATTTACCAACAGTGGCTGGAATTGCATTTTGACGCGATTGGCCAAATTAATTTCGCCTATATATGAATAAAGCATAAGTCTTGTATTGAAAACTTGGGAATCGCAGCCAACATTTTATGTATACAGGGCATCAAGCAGATGTGTCTTGGATTGTTCAAATAAATATAATGTAATAAAAAATGAATTTAAAAACAAGCTTGAAAATAATAAATAAGGCAAAACAATGAAATGTATATAAAAAAAAAACATAACAATTTCGAGCAACCGGGCTTTATCAAAGACAACGTGTTTTCTTGATTAAAAATCACATTTGAAATTATCTCTACATTATCAACTATAATCTTGTGAATCAAGTTATTTCTCAAAGTGAGGTTCTTTAAATATATTTCCAAGAACTGGCCCTTACGAAAAACGCTCATGAGAATGTAGTTTTAACTTCATTCTCTTTAAATCTCGGAACAATGAAATGAAATCCTGCTCTATTCAGTCGACATAAAGTAGCTTTTTAATCACTCGAAATTATGAGTAATAAATTCTTGTTGTAAAGCGTCCTCTGGTAACAAATACATTTACAATGCCTCCTTTTACCTAAAATTAGTCACAGTACTTATGGACATAGATGGGACCCCGTTTCCTGTAATACAGGTTTTTCTCCACTGGCAACAGTGGGACCCCGTTGCCTGTAATACAGGTTTTTCTCCACTGGCAACAGTGGGACCCCGTTGCCTATAATACAGGTTTTTCTCCACTGGCAACAGTGGGACCCCGTTGCCTGTAATACAGGTTTTTCTCCACTGGCAACAGTGGGACCCCGTTGCCTGTAATACAGGTTTTTCTCCACTGGCAACAGTGGGACCCAGTTGCCTGTAATACAGGTTTTTCTACCACAAGCAAGAGTAGTCACCTTTTACAATATTTTAGCTACTGTCGCCAATTTCGTGACATCTGTTTAAAAATATTGTAACTTATTTCAAGTCAATAAACGTTTATTTATTTATTCATTATTTATCCCTTCAAAGTAATTAAACTGTAGCGTAAAGTACAAAGGCAGCATTAATCAAGTCACCAACAAAAAATTGTCTAAATCAAACGAGCTAATCACCAATACTCACCCATTAACATTTACAACTCCTGATTATAATATCTGTCCAAATTCTCTACAGCAGGCTCAGTTTTTTCTATTTTCTCATCGGTGGTATCGTTTTGACTTCCATTCTGATTACTCGACTGCGGTTTGATGACTTTGATGTAGTTGACCGGTACGAGGCCAGCGTTTTGTTTGTCTTTGGTTGCCATAAGCCAGCCCGAGTTCCACAGTTGGGGTTGAAGGTGCTGTGGAGCTATGGTTAGGATCTGGTTGGCTGCGAAGGTTAACTCTTGAGGAGTGGTCGCTTGGAAGTCGTGTTGGGCCACCGCTCGCAAAGGATTCTGCCAGGTTGTTGGGTCGTTTACTGGAATTACAAAACTGAGTTATAATTTTTTTTATAATTGAAGTAAAGTTGAAGTGAAGCAGAGCAAGTGTAATATTAAAAAAAATATGATCTACATATTTGCACTCAGGTACCTCAAGAATAAGAAATGTCACTTTTAAAGCATTACACTTATAGCCCCTAAATTACTCACATCTCTCGTTGATACTAGAGTTGAGTCCGCTCAACATCTTGAGCACGAGGTATGGGGCAGCAGCCACAACCCCGAAGAACATGAGTATGGGCCAACTGGAACCCTTCGCTGGCTGAGCTGAAGGGACGCCGCCATCTTGGGTCGCCGCTACTGCTGCTGCCCAAGCCTGATATATCAAATCAAATCAATTATTTATCACACACCATAAGCGATTACATAAGTTACATTAAAATATTATTCAGAACATAGTGAGAATAAATTGAGCCTTAATGTCCCCACTAGTTGGCGGCGTGAGGGGAGGGTAAGCCGCGTTCTGATTGGACAGGTCAGTGTGACGTCACAGTCGGATGACAAATTGGACGACGTTATGTAATATCGAATAAAGCGACAAAAACCGAAAAAAATTAGATATGAATGCAGATCGATTTGGGGACGGATAAATTATGTATTCAGCCTATTTTGAGTTCAAAGATCAATCTTAGTATCTTATAGTAAGGGTATGAATCAAGCGACAAGTCAAAATTTGTTAGAATTTGTGCATATATCGTTACGTAATAAAGAATTATGCACCAAACTTACAGTTGCAAAATACACAAACAAGGTAACTAACAGGACAGGACACAAAATATAAAACGCAGATAATTTTGAAGATTTAGCTTTTTTTATTCTGGGGAATTGTTTTTAGTTTGAATTTGCGTACATTGTATTAAAATTATATGGATTTAATCTTTCTATGCAATTAAGGGTGACGCCAAACGAGCATAATTTTGTGAGTGGTGAGTCGCAGAATTTCGGTCGCAGAAATTCTGCTGCATTCGGTTTCATACAAAAAGGCAGTTGGTGCCACACGACAACGCAAAATGAGTTGTCTGCCGACTCAATGCGCATAAGCTGTCGGGGTGAGGGTAGGGCAAGGAAGGGTAGTGGGGAAGCAACAGTTTGTTACAAGTTGCGTGGTGTAATAATTCTTGAAAAACACGTAATGGCATATGATAGTACTTTTCAAACATATCTGGATTTGCACATAAACGTTCATATGAACGTAACTTTATATAAAGTATGGAACTGTCCACATATCAGCCTCTGACTATTCAGTTTTTTTTCTGGCCTCATCTTCTGAATATGCTTCGTAAATACAAAATATTTTTAATGGATCCATTGCACTCGACGACCCCGTACTAACGCTCAATAGTAACTGAATAAATTACGTTCGTATGGCAGCTCAACAGAAATTCAGTTGAACGTAAAATAAGTGACCGAAAATAAGCGACTCACAACTCACAAAATTACGCTCGTTTGGCTTCACCCTTATTTCACCCGAACCAAATGACATTCAAGTACGAGTATCAAACGACATAAGCGTCGCTTAGTACGTTATTTTTAATATAAAAATGAATCGCTGAATGTGTTACTAAACGCAAATGTCGAGAACAGCTGAACCGATTTCGATAATTCTTTTTTTAGAATATTCCTTGAAGTACGAGGATGGTTCTTACGCAGAGAAAAATTAAAAAAAAAATACTGAAAATGTCCAAAAACAACACTTTTCTATACTCCCATACAAACGATTCGTAATAATACTTAAAAATCAATTTGAACTTTAATACCATACCATAAATTTCAAATGTTAGTGGAGAGATTCTAGGAGGGCAAAACAATTGAGCGACGTGTTGTCTATAGAAGTTTGGAAAAGGAAATATACCATTTTCAGTTTTTTTATAATTACTTATATGAAGAGTCATTTATTTTGATGAAAGATCAAAAGAAAAAGGAATATGGTATAAAACCATACAGAGTCAGCCTCTACGAATACCATGGTTTATTAATTTAACATTAAGTCGACGCTTTGTAGTGACCTTAAATAGACTTCGTTCTGGACATTATCCATGTAACAAGTTTGGACAGCTTATGAAAAAAATTGAGTCTCCCAACTGTGAAGTATGCTGTGTTGTAGAAGATCTCCAGCACTTGTTGATGGATTGTGTCCGGTACCAGAATGAGAGACAAGAGTTTGTTAAAAAATGTAAATTGAATATGTCAGACATTGGTGTGTTTCACAGCGTTCTGGCCCAACCGGTCTCGGAAGAGGCCAGAATGCTGTATCGCTTTATATGTCTGCCGCGACTTTCTTCCGACAATAACATATTAGGTTAATTGGCTTAGATGATTTGTTAATTTATATAAGTACACGATGGGACTGACATGTCTGTAAAGATAAAAGTCCTTTAAATAAAGAGAAAAAAAAAAAAAAAGGAGTCATTTAAATCTACACTACAGCTTTACACCGAAGCGAAGCGAGGGCGGGCCACTAGTTGATAAATAAAATTATTAATTTCAAATTAGAAATCTTTGAAGCTTATTAACAAAAGCAACTCGCGTGCCACTTACGTCATTGAACTCCTCAACGTTGCTTTATGTAGATAATAATACCTGCTTAATTATCAGCCCATTACTGTCCCCACTGCTGGGGCACAGGGCTTCCCTATGGAAGGAATAGGGAGATTGGGCCATGACTCACAACGCGAGCCCAGTGCGGATTGGCGCGTGCTAACGACTGCAGATGCAGCCGGGACCAACGGCTTAACGTGCCTTCCGAAGCACGGAGGAACTCGAGATAGAAGATTATTTGTAGCCTATATGTTGACCCAACTTCTTAATAATATTCGTGCCAAATTTGAAGTAAATCCATGCAGTACTTTTTAGGTTTATCCCGGACATACATTCACACAACCAGACAAAAAATCTAATAACTATATTTTTGGCTTCGGTATCTATTGTAGATCACACCCCAAGTATTCTTTTAAAAATATATTCAATGTACAGTTTTGACTTTCCTACCATTTTATTATATGTATACATTTCTTAATCAAACATTTAAGACGCCACCTCCTTATTATAATATCAAGTAGATAGATAAGGTTATCTCATAGTAACATATAAAATAAATTGATAAACAATAAAGCAAAATGATATCTTAAGATACGTCAAACTTGCTAGAGATAAACATGTTTATTAAGTTTTGTTGCCTTGTAAATAGCAAAAAGAGATGAGGTACTATAAAATGTAACCACAAAAATGTTTAACAATCAGATGTTTTATAAGTTGGTAGGACACCCTGAGACAAGATGGGATGATGACATTCATAGGCTAGCTGGAGTGGGCTGGATGAGAGTGGCAGAAAATATGAGCCTTTGCGTGCATTAGGGGAGACATATGTCCAGCAGTGGACGAGCATGGGTTGATAATGATGATGATTAATAAGACTATACTGTGCAATTTTTGCTCAAGATATCAATTGCTTGTTATTCAGAATTCAAATGAACCCTAGGGAACATGATGGGTTACGGCATGTTTTCCTTGGTTGTTAGGAAACCTGTGCCCTATTGATGGAATAGGGAGATTGGTGGGTGCTAACGACTGCAGATGCAGCCGGGATCAATAGCTTGACACATGCTGGAGATGGTAAATCTTTTGTCACCCTTGCCTTCAAATGACTGACCGCTGCGAAATTTGTTTAACTTCAACGAGCTTCTCTAATCATCTTTTTATTCACCTTAAATTCATTCTCAGTCCTGATGCCCATGATAACAAGCAGCTTCCGGATAATCCAATTAAGACTCCGAACCACTGCAAACGTGGACCAGAACTGTGCAAACAGTGACCTCAATCTACCAAAGTTTTCTGCCACACCTGAAAACGAAATTTTCTTTTTTTTATAAATTGACAAAAACATTTTAACACGAAACATTAAACTTCCTTCTATTACGGGGCCATTACATTTGGTTGTTAGCTCAAATCGTAGTTGTTTGTCTGCTTATATATTATATAAATATTGATATCCCATTCAAACTTTGAACCCCCATTTAGCCTTTTTAAGGGGTGAGTTTTCGAAACTCCTTTCCCTAGTGCACGCCTACATCATGATAGCTATATGTGTGCCAAATTTTGTGTGTGTTGATACAGACTAATAAATCAAAAGCAAATTTGATACAGCAAAAAATTACCTAATATAGCTCTGAAAGAGCTTGTTAGTGCAAAGAAAGTGTTCTCAAGCATCATTGCCACACTACCAACAGCATTAACAAAACTTTGTATTGAGTCAAAGGCTGGCCTAGAATTTTCTTCCGCCATTTGTATGAATCTGAAAAAAATGAAGTTGTATTAATAAAGTATTTTTTTTCTAATTAAATTTTTTTAAGGCATCTTAATTCTTTTCCTATTGGAAATCCTGTCATCAGGGCCTTGATACATTTTATATGGAAATATTATCGGACAATTAAATATTTGTTAATTGCTTCTAAAAATATCACTGACAATTACAGTTTCAGTTAAGTACTTCAATCAGCATTAAGTTTGAGAAATTACCATTTATAATTAACTCAAGACTACATAATTAGTGAATAACAATAAATTCATGCAAATATGATTAGCATAATGGTAATCTTGTTTTTCTTCATTAAAGTGGCATTAACTCTTTTATTATACATGAAAATGGTTGATTATACTGTCAGAAGTATATATACTGAAATAATATGAGATATATAAGTTGGACAACAAATATGTATATTGCAGAAGCTTGCAGCAGTCTGCCAAAGCTGCTTTCCTTCTGGACTAATATAGGCTGGCTGGAGTAAATGCGAATATTTCAAGACACACACAATGGTCCAATAATTAGGACTAAGTACAGGGACCGCCCTGAAAAACTAAACTATGTATAAGAATATATTTCTGGCACTTCACATTGCTGTTTATATTTGCTGCTAGTAAACTTAATAGCAGTATATCATGCTCTATAAGGAATGAAAAGAAGAGGCTGCTGTCTAATTTAAATTCACAAATAGCCCTTGAAAATTTTCCATAAAATTTTACAAAACCTAGTTTGAAACTTGTTTTAAAAAGGTCTCTCAACGCATTAAAATTTTATTGTGGACAAAAATCACAACCCTAGCCACTTGATAAAATAAAAAACAAATACAAGCTCTCAACCACAACTTTGTAAGTGTTTACTTGAGGTTTTCGAGAATGCCACAGGAATCGTTTTTTTTTCAGATAAACAGTATCCTAAGTCTCAATCCGAGTCATAAACTATATGCATACTATTTTCACCCAAATCTGTTTAGTAGTTTCTGCATGACTGAGTATCAAACATACAAACTTGCATACTTATAATATTAGTAAGATCATTACATATTTTAAGTAGTTATTGTAATTTAACATTTAAGTATGTACTTTGTTAGTTGAACATATGTTTTAGTAAAGTACAATTGTTCAGTAAAAACTTTCATAGTAAATAATTATATAAAATCATATACCTGCTTTCTATTTCTCCGTACATGGGACCCATTCTATTATATCCACTGTAAGGCGACATTCCCATGCCTCCGAGTCCACCCATACCATAGCCATAGCCTCCGAATCCTCCGTAACTCCCATATCCTCCATAGTTACCCATGCCATAGCTTCCCATCCCACCGTATGACGTATAGCCTTGGTTCATCCCGTAGCTTTGTTGCATTCCCATTCCCATGTCAGGTCTTGGTGGCAAAGCTGGAGGACCAATGATTCCAACATTTGCAGTTGACGTCGATGGTACGGGATTTCTAAAAGATATATTCCCTGCGTTGCCGAACTCTGGCGTCGCAGCTGCATTCGATAAAGTCGGCTCTGAATTTACTTCGAATTGTTTCGCTGGCTCACTCATGATTTCAATGGATTTCAACTACTACACCAAGATGAATTGTTACCAATGTGTAAACACTTCTTTGAGTCTTTGTCACTGATGATAATGGGGGATTTACTCCATTAGATTAAAGTTCAATGGCGTGCGGAATGTTTATCAACTATTCAATGTTGTTTACGAGGACGGGTTTAGAAGGAAAAACTTAGAAATTAAAATGGAATGAACTAAAAAATACTCGTACAATGAACATAGTCCGAAACTCCGAATTTGACATCAGTCAGATTGACAGATGTCAGGGAACGTCAGCCAAGTGTCATGTCAAGTAAAGTCTTTTTTTTTATTCTCTCGTCGGCAAAGAAAACTGGGACTCGTTCAAAACTTACGCCTTGAGTGGTGTTGTGCTGGTGTTACTATATCAGAGTTAACCCTTACGTGGAACGCTGTCCAGTATCCAGGAATAGAAACGGCATAGAAATTTCTTGATTATTTAAAACCTATCTTTGAGTAACTTACCCCATGCTGCAAAATATGGGCAACTCAACGGTAACTTTCGGACTATTCGCTAACATTTACTAAAGTTAAAATTGCATATCAATCGATGCTTTTCAAAACAAGTATATTAGTGGCGTTGTAATATAGCAGTAGTAGATCAGAAATTAGCTTGGTGATTATCACAACATAGCTTGGATGGTAGAGAAATTAATTACTTGCTCTGTTATTGAGATTATTAGTCTGTAGACATAATCATAACAATCTGTGAATTTTAGTTTGGTTTGTCTATGGTAGAGGGTGTCTTGGATGTCAATAATAGCTGATTTTGCAGGAATTTTATTATTTTCGGTGTTCTGAAATTGAGTTTTGTGATATTAAACAGTATTCCGAAAGTGTATAATTTGTGAATTCTGTTAAAGGTAAGTAACTATACGTGCTTTAATACAAACACACACAAACTGTAATTGTTAGTGTCAACTAAAACAAATGTCTCGAATGTTTTCTATTTTCATTATTTTTACTGCGTTAGTAAAAGGTTCAAAGCTACTTTCTATGTTAAATGACAAGTATTAAACTTGTGGAACATGGTTTGCTTGGTGTTAGTCAAATAGGTTGTGTTATTAATTCTATATTGATATTGGAAAGGTGGCATATTCCGACCGGTTTAATTCTGCATATCTCGGGCGGGTACTGCTTCAATCAGCGCCAATTACTCTCGTTCTCTTTATAATGTGACACGAGTAACGACGGGTCAATGCTGATGCATCGATATGTGCGGAAATGTGCGTCAGTTCAGTTGATAATGAATGATGATCTAACTATAAACCTTTGTTAGCAACCCACTCACAAACTTACACTTTGTTGTAACTCCTTTTTAATAAAGTATTATTGATGACATAAGTGCAATATTTTATATAGTAATGAATGCAGAATTATGATACATGCAGATCAGTTTCAAAAAATTTTTATAGGATTGTAAATTTTGTAAGAAGTATAACTTGGTAACTAATGGCTTATACACACTTAACACATAAAATGTGAGTATGTTCATATTATGTATAAACTTTGTTGTTCCTATTTAATGATAAATGATAAAACTTGATTGTAAAATTCAATTCAAATCTACTTATATTTATAAGCAAATACAGGTGATACAAAAGATGTTTAATATCAATAGCTTATTCCATATTTCACCACACAGTATTCATATGAAAATTGTATTATATAATTAAGTTTATATAATATAATTAATTTAAGCAACATTTTTATTACAAATGTATTGTTAGTAATTGATCAGTTTATATTACCAGTCAAAAAGCAAAATATAATACATCAAAAGGACATAATGCTGCATTTAATATTTAATTAATATTTGATTATTTTATTCTCACTCAAAATATATAGTAACTACTAATATTTTCCTAATCATTGGGAAAATATTTATTTTTTGAAAGATTTACAAACTGATAGTATCATCCGTTTACACAATAAATACACATGCTAATAACTTATCTTCACAATTTTGATATTAGCTATATTATGTGATTTAAGCTATATTTTTTTCATTATTTTTTATATGAATAAACATTTTAAGTATAATCCAAATGAAACTATTTTGCAAGTATTAATCCCAGTCTGCCAGACCAGGGGATTTTCTGTCTGGGAAGATTCTTCAGAAATATGGAAATGAGAAGTCAGGTCTCAGGTCTAGCATAGTAGGATGCCTCACATATACATTACTGTTAAAGAATTTCAGCCAGTTCTGTGATTGGTTACTTTACGTTCAATACAACAAAATCATATACGCTGATTGCTTTCCCGAGGAAAAGTGTGTTTTCAACAATTTCGCGCGCATTTCTATGGCTCCGTTTCCGTAACAGCGCGGCTAGCTCTGTGGCGACAGACGAATGAACGCCATTTCCGTCGTGTCGCGGCGCGTTCCATTTCGCTCTGAAATGGGGTAGCGGGTCGACACTGTGTAGGGTTGCTAGACATTTTTCTCTACTAGACTTTTCTTTTAACGTGGTGGAACAGCAGGCAAGTCTTACCCTTCAAATCCCTTTAAAAACTTTAAACACAGTTTCGTACCTATTTAGGTCATACAATTTTATTAGACTTTATATGTCCCTTACAAAACGTTTAAAACAAAAAGAGAAGATACGATACTAGCATCAAATAAAATATGCTACGACTCAAATTCATAAGCAACTCTCACACACGCACACGTCTGTAAATAAACATTCAATCGAGCGAACGACATATAACTACGTACGCTTCAAGGCAGCGCGAGCGAAACGGCGCGAGTCCGTGTCCGAGTCCGCACGCCTGAGCTGTATTGTTGTCCTTTTCTTCATAACAAAATGGCGATTACGTAAATAACATTCACCACGGCAAACCATGATTTTTGAGAAAAAAAAAGATTTTACTGTTGTACGAACGAAAAGTGTGGCCGAGGCATTTGTTATTTTTTTGATTTTGAACTGCGTATGTTCTTTATAAAAGCATGGAAGGCATTGTTTTATCTTTATAATAGAGAATATACACCATTTTTTTTATAAATAGGTCCGACATATGACTTCTTTCCACCTGATGTTAAGTGACGGTGAATTCCAGACGTGAAGATAGCTGGTACAGCAGTTCTTCCTGCCACTCCAGCCATTCTCACCTCAATATTGTCATATGGAGTGAACATGCAGCGTGTTTGAATGTCCAATAGTGTCTAAAACGAATTGTGGTCATGCACTACAATTTAAGCGGACCGCTTTTGAGCCGCGAGTGCCGTATCTTCCCTTTTTGTTTTAATCTAAGGTAGCAAGTGGTGACGAGGAGCTTGATGGCGCAGTGCGTTAGCGAATTCGGTCTGCGATTAAGGAAGTTCAGTAACTTAGTAACTTCCGCAATGGGCAGTCGCAGAGCCGTGGCTAGGGGGGCATTATGGGGAAATGTCCTAACTTAAAACGCTTGTTGAAAAGATTCTAATACAGCTTTGACTAAGGCCCTGGGGGCCAATCGCCTAACGGAAATGCTTTGGGAAACGCTAACGCTTACGATTTTATATTGTTATTTCTAGCCACCTGAGGTTTTCGAATACCTCACGCTCATTTTTTTTAATATTGTTATTACCAATGCAAAAGAAAAAGAAAGAGTGCGAGGCATTTGAAAACCTCAGGCGGCTAGAAATAACAAAATAAAATCGTAAGCGTTAGCGTTTCCCAAAGCATATCCGTTAGGCGATTGGCCCCCTGGTCAGTCATAATTTAATATTGTTTATAAAGTTAGGGCGTTTACAAGAAAAGTCGAGAAACTACGCTATCGGCTCGCAAATCTACAGCGGGAGATCATGTACTCAGAACATAGAATAATAGAATTCAGAATTATCTGGAGCTCCATGCTTCGGAAGGCACTACCACCCGTTGATCCCGATTGCATCTGTACTCGTTAGCACCTGTCATTCTGCACACTTCAACAATTAGATCAAAACGCCACCAAGACAAGGGTTTATTAGAAACTCTTTTTTCTTTCTCTAACGAGTAATTTATCAAAAAGACACGTATTTTTTCTTTATTAAAATATTCAAAACATTACAGATATAAGCGCATTGTTTGAAATGTCATACAATTTTGACTTAGGAGTGACGTCACGAGTACCAACTTCCAAACTTGGACTCGATCTTTGTAATTTCTTGGTTGATTGGTAAAAGTGAAAATAAGTGTCCGTTATTTTTTGATAATGTTACTGAGGGACTAAATAGGATTTCGTTTACTTTACTGTGTCATCATCCCTTTTCCAAAAGTTGTATTTATTCGCGTTGCTATCATTTGGCACTGGCAACCCTACGACGGGCGCAGTATCGTTGAACAACGTTAATAGCCTCCACTACACGCTGTTGAATATTGTACTAGCTACACCGAAGGGTTTCATGTTTTCAATCATGCCTAATGAACATCTTTTCTAACTAATGTGAACATTTTCAGATTGGCTATCAGTACCATTAGCGGCATTAGCACAAAATTATATAGAAATCGAATATTTGAATTCGATCTCGATACGCTTCAAATGTCAAAAAGTTTTTATTTGTACTATATTGGGATACTGTTTTCATACCAAACAGCATCTCAAGACCGTCCTCAACTCTGAGAGCGGGCGAGCTATTAATGCGGGCCCTAGATTAGTCTTACTCAGGCATATGATCGCGCATTGAAGAACGAAGCGCGTTATATCTGAGGCTCAAGCACGAATTTTGAGTGTAAGGAGCCAATTTGTTCCTATGTCCAGTAGAGGCATGTTATTAGTTTTGCAAGAAAATTTGACGATACGATACAAGCTGTTCAACAAGCAGAGCAAAGCAAGCAGCGGATCTAAGTTTATTACGCTTAGCACATCTCCGCTTCGGTTGTCGTGAAGGTGGTAAAAACCCATAGAACACAGAAAGAGGTTAGAAGGGTAATCGTAGATCCTTTGTAAGGGAACTGCTGTCGTCGGCTCGACCCCACTACACTTCCACCATAATAGCGTATCAAACGACGCGA